AAATATGGCAGAGGCGGGGAAGGAGTGGGGGGAAGTTTGTGCGACAATGGAGGGACATGAGGTGAAAAAGAGCGGGGATCCAGGTGGAAAAAGGGTCCCAGCGTTCTCGCGAACCTCGCTCTTCTAGCTGATCCAACTTCATTAGTCGTTTTCCGCAATGTTGGTCATACAAACAAAACAAGCCAGTAAGGTACCAAACAGGAAATATGCATAGGGCAGAGCGGATGTAGATTTGACCAACAAGATGCCTTCTGTCTGCGGTCACCTATAATTTTGGAGAGGTGCAGCAGAGTGTCTGCGGCAGGGGTGAAGGCACATTTGCATTCACTGCGACACACATGCAGACGACCTGGTTTCCGACTATGAATCAGCCTTAAGCAGGAAAGAAATCTGAATTGATTATCAAGAACTGCAGTGTAAACATAGCCTTATGCTACGTTCAGACTGCAAGCAATGTAAGCAGCAAAAAGGTTCTGCTGCTTCATTTTTGATGCTGGTACGCATTAAGGTCTGAGGCGCTTCAAGAGCAGCTTTGAAGCTCTTGAGGAGCGTCCAGTGTGTCCAGATGTGTCTGATGCTTCAGTGTGCAATGGCAGCGAGAGTCTTTGCTATATTTGGTGTAATAAGTTGGTAAAAAGTAGTTTTAATATGTTTTTAAGAAAGAAAGTCCACCTGATAACTTTATCAAGATTACGATCCTGCCATCAAATATATCGCTGTCGAAGCAGCTCACTCCCATACACTGGCGGTAATTTGTCCCTGGAAATCCCCTTCAACAGCAGCCTCTGGCCCAGTCGCGTCTTTGGGGTTTTCCGCTACTGTTCGCGGCAGCTGGAGGGCGTTTTTCATGTACATAATCCAAACTGTAGGCAGCAGAAAAAAAGCGAACATATTTTTCCAGCAGGTTTCTACACTTTAAGTTAATTTATGCGTGAATAAACTGTTTAAGTGGATTGATCATAACGATCTGCATAAGCAGTGCTGCATCTGTCTCTCTGCCAGCTCCTCTGGTCGATGTGGCACGTCGAACAGCAAAAGTTCAATTATTCCAACTCAAGCAGCTGCTGCCTTTGCATCGCTTCCCGTGCATCAGATGTTCAGGAGCTCACAAGGTGCTGCTTCAGCTGCTCAGACGCACTGCTCCTGTTGCTCGAAATGCGCTGCGTGACCTTTTGCGGCGCATTTAACATTGACTTTGCATGTAAACCACCTGCTTCTGCTGCCTCTATTGCGTGCGGTCTGAACAAACTGTCTCACTAGTTAAAACCTCTTAACACCCACCTAATTTGAAGTAATCTCACCTATTTTGTATACCCAAATGGAAAAGCAAAGAACTGAGGAACTGTTAGCCCAAATTACATGTGTGATACATCATTTAAAACGAACTGAAAATTTACAGGTGCTGGTCATAAAATTAGAATATCATGAAAAAGTAGATTGATTTCAGTAATTCCATTTAAAAAGTGAAACTTGTATATTATATTCATACATTACATACAAACTCATATATTTCAGATGTTTATTTTGTTTAATTTTGATGATTACAAATGACAACAAATGAAAATCTCAAATTCATCATATCAGAAAATTAGAATATTACTGAAGACCAATAAAAACAAAGGATTTATAGAAATGTTGGCCAACTGAAAAGTATGAACATGAAAAGTATGAGCATGTACAGCACTCAGTATTTAGTTGGGCCTCCTTTGGCCTGTATTACTGCAGCAATGCGGCGTGGCATGGAGTCGATCAGTCTGTGGCACTGCTCAGGTGTTATGATAGCCCAGGTTGCTCTAATAGTGGCTTTTAGCTCTTCTGAATTGTTGGGTCTGGTGTATTGCATCTTCTTCTTCACAATACCCCATAGATTTTCTATGGGGTTAAGGTCAGGAGAGTTTGCTGGCCAATTAAGAACAGGGATACCATGGTCCTTCAACCAGGTACTGGTAGCTTTGGCAGTGTGTGCAGGTGCCAAGTCCTGTTGGAAAATGAAATCTGCATCTCCAAAAAGTTGGTCAGCTGCAGGAAGCATGAAGTGCTCTAAAACTTCCTGGTATGTGGCTGCGTTGACCCTGGACCTCGGAAAACACAATGGACCAACACCAGCAGATGACATGGCACCCCAAACCATCACTGACTGTGGAAACTTTACACTGGACTTCAAGCAACGTGGATGAAGTGCCTCTCTTCTTTTCCTCCAGACTCTGGGACCTTGATTTCCAAAGGAAATGCAAAATTTACTTTCATCAGAGAACATGACTTTGGACCACTCACCAGCAGTCCAGTCCTGTTTCTCTTTAGCCCAGGCAAGACGCTTCTGACGCTGTCTGTGGTTCAAGAGTGGCTTGACACAAGGAATGCGACAGCAGAAACCCATGTCTTTCATACGTCTGTGTGTGGTGGTTCTTGAAGCACTCACTCCAGCTGCAGTCCACTCTTTGTGAATCTCCCCCACATTTTTGAAGGGGTTTTGTTTCACAATCCTCTCCAGGGTGCGGTTATCTCTGTTGCTTGTACACTTTTTTCGACCACATCTTTTCCTTCCCTTCGCCTCTCTATTAATGTACTTGGACACTGAGCTCTGTGAACAGCCAGCCTCTTTAGCGATGACCTTTTGTGTCTTGCCCTCCTTGTGCAACGTGTCGATGGTCGTCTTTTGGACAACTGTCAAGTCAGCAGTCTTCCCCATGATTGTGTAGCCTATAGAACTAGACTGAAAGACCATTTAAAGGCTTTTGCAGGTGGTTTGAGTTAATTAGCTGATTAGAGTGTGGCACCAGGGGCCATCAATTTTGAACCTTTTCACAATATTCTAATTTTCTGATATGATGAATTTGAGATTTTCATTTGTTGTCATTTGTAATCATCAAAATTAAACCAAATAAACATCTGAAATATATGAGTTTGTATGTAATGTATGAATATAATATACAAGTTTCACTTTTTAAATGGAATTACTGAAATCAATCTACTTTTTCATGATATTCTAATTTTATGACCAGCACCTGTAAATGGAAATAGCGTGACTAAAACATGACATGACTCAAGGTTGTTTTTTTTTCTTGAAAATATGTCTTTTTTGAACAGCAGTAATAAAGACATGCTTAAGAATATGCATGTCTCATCACAAATGCAGGTAATTTCAGTCCTCTAACTACAACAGTTCCAGAGCTGTGGGGCTTTGAACTTTTGGTGCCACCAGCGTCTCCAAATCTCTCCAAATGTGCCAGATTGTGCCAAATGCTTTTACTTAACTATTTGACCCATAGAATAACACTGATGCATTTTGATGACCACAAAACATTTATGTATTTTTTTTCCAGTTTTTTCAGAATCTTTGTATATAACGAAAGGTAACATCTATAAACCTAAAATAACAAAAATATAAAGAAAACAAAAAAGTGAATCTGCTGCTTTTCAAGCTTAAATAAGCTCCAGTGCCTTTTCTGGGCTATATTTTGTTTTCTTTTCAGCCTTAGGCATTCTAATAATACAAAATCAGCATACAAGCTTCATAAATATTGGCGCGTTGTTAGTAAACAGCTTCAAAACTGTGCGCACTGATCCAGGCTCAGCAGTGTTTTTTTTTTTTATTCTTACGCAAGCCGATAATACCAGAGAAAGACACTTTTGTCTTGCAGGTAAGAAGACGATGTAAAAAAAAAACAAACCAAACATTGCAGACAAACCTTGAGGAAGTAAGTCTTCTTAGAAATTCATTAAGCATGACCAGCTAACTTTCTGACGTCAAAAAACTGATGTTATGTGGCGATTTTCTCATCATGGAATGTTTCTATTATGAATGCCGTATTGCTTTTAATCTGTGGACCCTTATAGATTAATAGAGTATAAACAATTGAAGATTGGATTTATAAAATCGCTTATGGGCGCCTTCAAAGGTAGGTTTTCATGGCTGCTTTGTCATGTTTACATTTCGACATGCTGCTATATCTGTGTTAATTGTGCTCTGGTGCTTGCTGTGTACATAAAACAAACTTAGTGATTGAATTGTGGAGAATCGAAGCTTTCCAACAATGTTTAACAGCCACAGTTTGCATCTCCCGTTTCGCACATTAATCCTTGTTTGCAAAAGCCATAAAAAAAACTTCAAGCATGCGTGAAATCTATTTTAGCAAATTTAAGGAATTTTTTTTTATGTGGCCGTTTCCCATCAAGCTTTTTTGCTGTGATACTACAAAATGTGCATTAGAAAAAGTTGACAGAAACGGCCCTATTCTTACCAGAATCTAATCTGCTAATAATCATATTTGATTAAAGTCTGTTGAAGCAGACATATATAAAAGCAAAAAATATATAGGAAAATATGCCTTTTGCAATAACTTACGTGCAATAACCATTTAATACCCTGTGCAATAACCTATTTATACTTAATAACCTGTGCAATAACCTGTACAATAATCCTGTTAAATAAGAGACTTCAGCTGGTGTGTATATTATATGTATATACACCATCTGAAGTCCCTTATTTAACAGGATTATTGTACAGGTTATTGCACAGGGTATACATTTTTCCTCCTTTTCACACCTTCTTTTGACTGTTGAGCTGACGTGACGAGATAATTTCTCCACTGTGAGACGAATAAAGCCCATCTAGATCCTGAGAAGAAAGGGAAAAAAAAAGTTTTCATCACCAAAAAGCAACTGTGGAATGAAGAGTACTGCTCTCAACCACTTATGGTTATCAAAAAGAGTAATAAGTTTGGCCTGGACCACTTAACCCCAGCCAGTCATGTAAGGATTTTAGAGCATCTACTGAAGCAAGTTTTCCATCTCTCCCTAGCCCAACACACTTAAATCAAATATCTCAATAACCTCCTGAATTGAACTGAGGTTCTGCAGAGGACCCAATTATTTGACTGTAGATTTTATTAATTTAAAGTAGGAATATATATAAAAGGTTCAGGACACCGGCCTTCGAGAATTGTCTCTGACATCCCTACCTTAAAACAATACAGAATAAAGTTTACTTTAGGCACATGTTCTGGTTTACATTTAAGTGGATTTTACAGTTGCCACAGAAAATAGGGAGTCAAAGCAATACTTTCAAGCATTAGAGAAATGTATCTTATTTTAATGACAATCTAATGAGTGACAATGCTATAGGTTCAAAAATGATGAATATATGCATACACATAAAGTAATTAAATTCAACAATTTAAGTAAAACACAGTTAAAATGAACTTTACCGTAATATACGTCACTAAAAAAATTGAAGAAGCCAGGTGACCTGCAAAAAATGTCAATGGGAGTATAGTAGCATGATACACAAATGTCTTTTTATGGGTCCATTTGATAAAAAAGTATTTTGTAAACTCTCCACCAATACCATTTCCCCCATCCATTAGTTACCCTTTGTGTCTGGGCCATGAGAAGCCTGGTGCTGAAGAAATGTGTCCAAACCTGAAAATGTTTCAGTGCATTCATAAAGAGCCTCGTGAGGACTTCTTTTCTCAGCATGTTTTTGGTCAAAAGTGTCGTCCTCTATGTCTTCTGGATCATCGTTTTTAAGCTCTTTTTCTACATCGTTTCCAATTTTAGGAGATTTCTGTCCATTATCATCCTCATCGTCATCATCAACATCAGAGTGTTGAGTTTCTCTGTGACTTTCCATTTCAACCTGAAGAGATGAACTATTCTTAATCTCGGGTGGAGACTTGGTAGGCTCTTTCTTGTGATAGCGCAAATGTCGCTGGTACACACATAAAAGCCCAAATTTCTTTCCACACTCAAGACATCTGTAGTTAACTCTACCACCTTTTCCAGTTTGCTCTCCTGAAGTCAGCTCTTTTTCAGAGGATTCTTTTGAGTTGTCCTCAGGAGCTTTAATCTGTTTCTCCTCATCAACCGAATTAGATGATGGCCCATTTTGTGTATTTGTGTGCAAGAGTTTCAAACCTTCGGTTTTGTGGTACATGACGACATGTCTTCTCAAATCACAACGCTGTGGAAAATGTCTTCCACAAAATACACAAGTGTGCATGGTTCCCTTATGATATCTCATGTGTCGAGATAAACTACTAGAGTGATTAAAGACTCGATGGCAGTGCTTACAAGGATGAAGTTTTCCATTTGGATTTGATCTCCTTCGGCTTCTATTTGGGGGTAGAACTCTCTTGAAGGGCTTTTGGTGCTCCTGATTCATCTTATCAATTTCTTCCTGAGTTTGATGTGTGACATGGTGCTCCTTTAGGGTTGATAAACTCTCAAACCGATCACCACACAAACCACATCTGTAGGGAGTGAATGTGGGTTGCTTATTCTTTTCATCGCAGTCATCTCTTGTGATTTTCCGGCTTCCGTTCTTAGTATCATCGGACGTACCGTTTGTATGGCAGTTGACAAGTTCCCCGTCTTCAGAATTCTTGGAATTCTCTTCAATTTCAGAATTTGATTCAAACTCCACATCAGGCTCCTGTCCCTTGCAGTGATACAAAGAATGTATCTGAAGGTCTGACATCCAAAAGAATACTAGCTTGCACTTGTTGCAGGGATATGCCTTTTTGTCTTCCTTAGTCTCTAGTTTACCCGCAACCTTGGGGATGGAGTGATTCTCTTTCTGATGAGCATTGAGTGCATCGACTTTAAGGAATCTTTTACCACAGAGACCACATAAGCTACATTTTTCATTCAAGTGGCCTTGGAGGTGTTTCTTGATGCTCTGTTTATCTTCAAAGATCTTGCAGCACAGAGTGCATCTGAAGCCCCTCTCAGAGTTCCCATATTGCTGGTGACGTTGCAGACTCTGTGAGCTGCTAAATGACCGGTTGCATATTTCACAACGGTAATGGGTCTGTTGTGATTCTTCCGAGTTCAAGCCGGGTGGCCTGGGTTTAAATGCAACTTTGTATGAGGGCGACTGGGAGTTCAAAGTTGCAGAAACGGGCCTATTGGATGATGGCAAATGTGATGGCAATCTTTCAGGAGTCATTGGTGCAGTAGAATTGTTTGGCACTGCTGAAGAATTTATTGGTGCTGGAAAGGAGTTTATTGGGGCCACAGAAGAATTTATTGGTTTTGCAGAGGAATTAAAAGAATTCAGCTGGGCTAACCCATTAACAATAATCAGAGTGCCATTTTCTTGAAGGACATATTCCCGTGGGATTTCAAATCCATTTGATGAGCCATCAAAGGAAAAGGATTCCAAAGGCCCGTGAAGAGTCATATGGGCCAATATATTGGAGTATTGACTGAATCCATCACCACACTCCGTACAGATGAAAGTACTGGCTTCTCCTCCCGATTGTGCTGGAGCAACATTATTCACAGCTGTCTGTTTTTCCATGTTTAAACGATTATGTCCGTGTGCTGATGGCATCACTTTTGAACCTGTATTTGCAGCTAAATTTCTATACAGACATGGGCAGAGATATCCATGTCAGGGCAATCAGTGAAGTCCTCTTGTCCCACAATATAATGAGATTTCAACTCCTTAGATCTTCCACTTTGAAGCACCTGGAAAATAAGACAAGTAAAGATGAAAAACACAAATAATGTGAAAAGATGCTATACAATGTTTGCAAAGATGACTCCAATAGAATTACAGAACAACCCAACCACAGTACTTGGCCAACATTGATCCTTACTGACAAGCTGGCATTCAAACATGAGTTGATTCTTTAAATGCAATCCAGCTGGCACTGAATGCCAAATCAAGTTTCTTTTTTATAAAACAGTCCTTACATACAGGCAGTGGAGTGCCTATACAAAAGGTTTTCAAACTTTACCTTGGGGCTGACTGTTTTGGATGTTTTAGATGTGCCTATGCTCCAGCATGTCTGTATCAAAAAATTGCTTTCCCTCCTCAGCTGCTACAAAACACTACAGAGACCTGGTAATCAACCATATATTTAGGTCAGGCATATGGAGGTTGGATTGGCTTGTGAAGTTCAAAAGCTTGACAAGGAGACGACTGCAGCATCCAGTCAAACTTCCTTCTTGTGGAAACACTTTGTTGATTTACCTGGCCCTGTAAAACGTGACTGACATACAGTCTCTTGTGAAAGTTTTCGGCCCCTTTGGACTTTTCAACCTTTTGCCACATTTAAGTGTACACGTCGATTTTACCCATTTGAGTTAATTGCAGCATCCCAACCATGTTCAGTATGAGTCCTGCATAAGACTTAGTCCGAATGAGCTTACAGACAAATGAATAAAGCTCTTCTGCCATGCCTGCAGAGATAATGTTTAAAGGAAGGGTTGGACTGTCCAGGTTTGGAAGGATGCTGAAACGGCTGCTTAATCAAGCCAAACCGGCCTATGGTCAGAGTAAGGCTGGGTGATAAATCAAATAAATTCGATTAATTGATGTTTTTAAAAGTCCACGATTTGAAATTTTGCTAAAACGTAAAATCGAGAACATCTCTCGATTCTATTTCTCTTCTACTTGCATGTTTGCTTCGGCTGCTTCTTTGCTCCTTCTACCCAAAAGCATGCGGCACTGTTTACTCACCCCATGACCACTGCCCAATCTAAAAAGTCGGTACCGAGAAAAGGAACTTGTTTTTCATCGATTATATGGAAGTAGTTCGGCTTTGACAAGGCTGACGTGGAGTAGACCACAGTAATGTGCAAGGTTTGTCCAAATGCTATCAAAACCAAGACTAGCAGCTCAACTAACATGTTTCAGCATCTCCGGCAAAGGCACCCCACAGAATGGGAGCAGCGCTCCCAGATTTGGGACTGCAGCGGCAATAGCACGACAAGAAAAGACCACAAACTCTGGCCATCTTATTTTCTAAAGCGCTGCCGTACAAAAGTGAAGTGTGCAGATGACTGCCGCTGTAGTTGTTAATATAGGGATGGACATGGCACCCATTTACATAGTAGAGAAGCCTGGCTTCTTCACATACTAAAAGTGTGTGATACAAAATATGACCCGCCGAGTCAAAACACAACAAGCACTCTGTATAAAGTTGGACTATGCTGGGTTTTATGCAACTACTACAGTCCTTTGGTCCGGTCGACCTCTCCAGCCATACATGAGTTTAACTGTCCATTATATGGACGTAAATTGGGCTCTCAACCGTGACTGTTTAGAAACCACCTACTTCCCCAAAGATAAATACAAGTTATTTACTGTTCGATAAAAGGCATATTTCAGCAAATGAAGCTCTTTTTTTCTTGCTCTTCTGCTGAACATATAGGTGTACATTTTTTTTTTTACTGATAATCAGTACAATGATTGGTGGATGAACATTTGTGTTTACTTGCATAAGATTTATGTTAAGAATATTTAAGTTTACATTTTTTTTTTTACAATACATTTATTCTTGACTAAATATTTGGTACTTTGTACAATATTTTTCGAACAACGTAAACCTATTTTAAAATACATGCAAGTAGTTTTTAAAGCTTCAATTAAAACCAATTAAAATCTAATCATCCAAGATGACTTAAAAAAAAAATTTGAGATTTTATTTTTAGCCATACACCAAGCCCTGAGTCAAAGTATTTTATATACTGATGCATAGACACCATCCCGCCTGCAGGCTGATCATCAGAGCAGCATCTGACTTGGTCAATCTGCAGTTTGCATGTTAAGCGGAGATATAAACGTCACTTCCCAATATGGAGAAAAGATCGAAAAGAAACAGAAGCTGGCTTAATTAGAAAAGAGGCAACTGGAAAGATATGGGTGCAAAAAGGTGGGATATATGACATTTTGCTTTAGCAAAATCTTTAAAAAAAAGAAAATGCCCCCAATAAAAAATCCAGTTGAGAACCCAATGAAAAGGTTTGAAAACCACTCCTTTAGACATGCATAACATTAGTCAAGAACATCATCAATGAATATTGTGGTGAAAAGCCTGTCAATAGGCTACCAATTGAAACCAGGTCAGTCAAAGTTGGGAAACATCCAAGATGTGCTTTAGTCGTAGGGAAGCGTCTGTTCCAACCGTTGCATTTCCGAATTCTCCTGAGTGGTGCCCGACTTTACACGAGTGAATAAAGTGAATGTGATTAGTCGTTTACCAAGGGGGCTGAATTGTCATGGCGGAAGGTTTGCAAGCATGTTTGGTTGTGGCCGGTTTGTCGGAAGCGTCTTGCTAGCCAGTTAGCAACTTAGTGCTAGTAGGTTCCCAATGGGAAAGTACATTGGGGCCAAGTAGCACTTAGCAACGACCCTGTCAAGAAACACTATGGACAGCGGAAATATGCACAAGGAGGAGAGTTTTTGTGTCGGAAGTTGTGGATGAGTCTCCTTCGTCATACATTTTTTATTTAGAGGAGGAAGGCGGGGACGAAGTTGTCGTAGAAGAGGACGCCAGGGTGGAAGAAGCTTCGTTTAGCGTAGAAGGCTTACAGCCGTACATGTTTGAGCCCTTGCCTTGTAACGCTGCCAGTTCTGTTAGCTCTACGCCTGCCGAAGACACAGACGCCCATTCCCATGAACACTGGGACCTAACTTAATGGTAAAGTCAATTATTCTTATTTCAACCGTTGCATATATTAGCTGCGACATATGAATCAGAGGCTATGACTGAAAAAATTTGATTGACAGATGACCGTTGATATATGATTGGCCGAATTTAGGTGTACAAGCTTACGTATAACTAACTAGCATGCATAAGAGAATTTAAAAAAACCCTCAGACTTTAGGAGGATTTTTTTATACAAATTTTCTAACTTTTGGGACTTTAAGGACCAGGGATGAAAAACATCGTCTTAGGCTCTAGCTTCCGTAATTAACAGGTTATGGCTGCTTATTGCAAGAGACTAGAGCCTCTTTCCCACTGAAAATACCGGCCGACCCGTTAACGATTGGCATTTGGCTCTCTTCTCATCTGCAAAAAAAGCTGGCTCTAACCGCTAGCTAGCAAGGTGCATGACCTTTGTCCCCCCACAACTGCATGTCTGATGTACACCATCATGCTGTGTGAGCGTTGATGATGTCACCAGTGCGACATAAACTTAAGTAAACAATGCAGAGCAACATGTCAGAAACCAGGTCGTTTGCATGTGTGTCGCAGTTAACCCACGGCCAGTCTTTCGGGATCACTCACGGGTGAACTGTGTGTCACTGGATGCCTCTAGACACGCCATCACCATGATTCAAAATTGGGCATATCTCAAAAATGTCTGCATCCTTACGTTGCGTTCAATGGTGTCACCTAATTTAGAGGGTCAACCCGGCTCCGGTGTTCCCACAGCATGCCAATCAGAGCTGAGGATTTTGTTGAGTGTCACTTGCTAATTTTTCTGACCAAGTTAGACATCCATCATGGAGCCGTTTCTACTACCATTGCCCAAGCTGATTGTTCCCGGGTTTAAAAGGGTTTTTCGGTAGTTGGGAAAAACGTATGACTTGCTATTACAAAAATCTTTTCACATGTGGCCCTTTTCTACTAGCTATATTCTGCATTCATCTTCACCCAAGCACATCTCTGCCGGTCAGAGAGGAACTCTGCTTCAAGTAATCTGGATCATGTAAAGATAATAGGCCCATTAACACTACCCTCTAAAAACCAATCTGTAGAGTTCGGGCTGAGCTTGGATCAGTTAACCATGCTGAGCTTGGTACCTTATAACCGTTTAAACAACATTCTAACACAGTTCCTCGCCTCCTAGTGATGCTCTACGTTACTATTGCTCTCTAGAGGGAAACAAGCAAAGCAACGAGGCGGCACCCACAACATTCAGGAAGTTATGTATTGTTATCATTGTGGTATTTCGTTGTTTGCGGAGAGTCAGGCGAAGAAGGCAGCCTTTGGTGATTTTACTTGACAGAGTCTGCTTTTGGGAAGTGGATATGACAAACAAAGTTCATCACAATGCTAAGCAGAATTATCACTGGAAATTGTGTGGCAAGGTAAGGAAGCTAGTATTTTCATGAATGTCTGAAATTTCATGATTACGGAGGCTGACTGTAAGGAGATGAAGTGGTCTGCTCATATGTTTTTGTTCTCCGAGAACCAGAATCGAACCGCACCTTGCCCTACTGTTGAACTAATACCAGTTTAGTGCGGTTTGGTTGTGTCTAGCATGGTCCGGTTCAGTTTTACGTGCCATTTACACTCAACAGTTATCTCGGTTACTGTGCTCAGACTGATCTCGGCACGGTTTCAAAAGGGTAGTATAAATGGGGCTATAAAAAGGATGGGGCAACCCTTTAACTCTAACAAGAGAGGAAACAATGCACTTAGAAAGTTATCTAAATAACACCAAAAAAAGGGAAAAATAATTTAATTTAGAGGAAACAATTTTGTTAAATATGCTTTACACCAAGGCATTTGCAATTCTCCAAAATTTTGTAATCGAAGAGGCACTCAATTTGGTCATATTGCCATCAGGGGGCCCTTATTAAAAGGGGCCATTCTGCAAGAGGAACAGGAGTCTACTGCCCCTCTCGACCAACTCAAGAGCCTTTCAGCTTGGATCAATTCCCTTTATTAGTAACAGTTAAATAGATCTGTTACTATTTTAGTGCCTGTTGCCTGCGATTCAAACCATTC